GGAAGAAGAGGCAGACTCCCACGGATAAGCACTGAGCTGAACTCAAGAAATCCAGTGACAGAGAGGGAGGACTGATGAGCAAAGGGGTTAAGACTGGGCTGGTTTAACCCCCAGAAACAGCTGACCTGACAAGGGTTAGCTCTTGAATCCCAGACTGATGCCTGGGAATCCAGCATGGGACTGATCAAGACTCCCTGAATGTGGGTGTCAGTGAGGAGGCCTAGGTAATCTATTGAGCCTTGGGTAGTAGATCAGTATTTATCCTGGCTATACAAATGGACTTTGGACTCCCATCCAATGAGAGACGCACTCTCATCCTGAACTCTTGTGGGAGGGTCCAGGCCCTGCCCTGGATGAAATGACAGACTATGGACACCGCAATGGAGGGGAAATGAGAGGATATGAAGGGGTTGTTGGAGGGTACGGGAGGAGGGGAGGCAAACGGAGAGGGAACTGGAATTGACATGTGAAGTAACCTTGTTTCTAATTTAAATTTAAAAATGAAAAAAATATATTAAAAAGTTTCATCTAAAAGTAGAAAAAATTAAAAATGGAATACAAAAAAGAAAAGTAGAGGAGATTATTAACAAGAGGCATCTTCAGGAAAACAGAAGATAATGAAAAAATGAGAATACTAAAAAATAAATTTCAGGGCTAGAAAGATGAATCAGTGGTTAAGAGCACTGGCTGCTCTTCCAAAGGACCCAGGTGCAGTTCCCAGCTAACATGTGGAGTCTCACAATTGGAAACTCTAGTTCATTGGGGATCTGACTCCCTTTTCTGACTCTTCCGGATACTGGACACACGTGGTGCACAAACACACATCCAGCAAAACACACAGACAACATAAAATAAAACAAATTAAAATTTAAAAATTTTAAACTAAATATTAAACAGTTTAGAAGTTTCATACCCATAAGGAGAAAAACTGAAAAAAGATTAATACTGCAAATGAGTCACTGAAATTTTAATAAAATGAAATATGATATAAATAATTTCACATTCACATATTTAAATTCTAGGTGAATTGACAAGCAGAAAGGAAATAAAAATTAACAAATGCCCCAACAATACACGATTAAATTATCAAGAACCCACTACCTAGGGACTGGAGCAATATCTCAGCGGCTAATAATACTTGCTGCTCTTGCAGACCTGAGTTAAGTTCTCAGCATCCACATCCAGTTGGTCACAATCATCCATAACTCCAAGTCCAGGGGACCAAAGGCCACCTTCAATCATGCACTCAAGCCCACACACACACACACACACACACACACTTACACATAAGTAAAGTGGGTCCTGGGAATCCAAACTCAAGCCATCAGGATTGAGCAGCAAGGCCTTTACCCAATTAATCATCTTCCCCACCCTAGGCAATATTTCATGTGAAGGCAATATTGTGACCGAATTGAAGCTGTATAGTGGAAGTAAGTAGGGAAGTTTCTGAAAAGGGGGAAAATGACATCAGAATCTTCAAAGCAACACACAAGTTTCTTTATATCACCATGAAGGCAATGGGCAATAGTCACATTAACCCCACCTTGCATACTTTCATTTGATATCTGAAATAGCAAAGGAGGGCTACTAGGCTCACCTAGTCAAATGAGCGAGTGAAGTGGACATCAGAAAGATAATGACCATGAAATAACACTCATGTTTTCACCAGATGTGGATCAGTGTATGAAGTGTCTAGATCATCAATATGTCAACACAGAGCGAAACCACTGCCTCCAAAAGTCTATGACCTTCCTGGATTATGACGACCCCCTGGGGATAGGTCTGTCATGCATGGCCTTGTGTTTCTCTGCACTATCAGCTCTGGTTCTTGGGATCTTTGTGAAGAAGCAAGACACTCCCATTGTAAAGGCAAATAACCGCACTCTCAGCTACATCCTGCTCCTCACCCTTCACTTCTGCTTTCTCTGCCCTTTTCTCTTCATTGGCCATCCCAACACAGCCACTTGCATCCTACAGCAGACCACATTTGGAGTGCTGTTCACTGTAGCTGTCTCCACTGTCTTGGCCAAAACTATTACTGTGGTTCTGGCTTATAAGGTCACTGCTCCCGGAAGAAGAATCAGGTGGTTGTTGGTAACACGGGCTCCTAACTTCATTGTTCCCATCTGCACCTTGATCCAAATTGTCCTGTGTGGAGTCTGGCTGGGGAACTCTCCCCCCTTTGTTGACACTGACGCACACTCTGAACAGGAACACATTATTTTCCTGTGCAACAACGGCTCTGTCACTGCTTTCTACTGCATGCTGGGATATCTGGGAGCTCTGGCCTTGGGAAGCTTCACTGTGGCTTTCCTGGCCAGGAACCTGCCTGACACCTTCAATGAAGCCAAGTTCCTGACCTTCAGCATGCTGGTGTTCTGCAGTGTCTGGGTCACCTTCCTGCCTGTCTACCACAGCACCAAAGGGAAGGTCATGGTGGCTGTGGAGGTCTTCTCCATCTTGGCCTCCAGTGCAGGGCTTCTAGGGTGCATCTTTGCCCCCAAGTGCTACATCATTTTGTTAAGACCACAAAGGAACTCTATTCAGGGTCTCAGGGACAAAATACATTGTAGGTACAAGTCTTAATACATTTTTAATTAATTTTCAACTTTTACATGAAGGAAATTTCATTATTACATTCTCATATGTGAATTTTGTTCTTATCTGTCCCCCGCACAAACTGATGCCCTATCCCCTCTACTTCCTCCTGTTTCTTCCTTATCTTAAAACACTCCTCGTTTCTACATTCACACATGTGTTTCTTTACCCCTTCCCTTTTCCACCTCTCTTACTTTCTCCCCTCTCTCAGCTACATTCTTCTTTCAGGTTGAGGAGAGAGACAGAAAATGCCAGCCCTCTTTGGTATTTATACTGTGGGTTAAGTCACCAAATTTAAAATTTTCCAGTTCCAAAATTTTCCTGCCAAATGTCATGACTTTTATTCTTCCTTAATGCCACTGTGAATATGTTCCACATTTACTTTATCTGTTCATCTGCTGATGGTATTCTTCATGCTTCCTTTTCTCAACTACCATGCAAGTACAGTAACAATCATATATGTGCAAATATCTTTTTAGGTGTCTTCTGGGTTTATATACCTAGCAGTGCTGTTAGATTGATTGGTAATCTTCATTTAATTTTGTTAGTAACTTCTACATTCTTTTGGCAGTGGTTAAAAAAGCCGTACTAAACATGGAACACGGCTCACAAAGGAAAAAAAAGATGAGGTGTGGGGTCAACTTTCTAAGGTTTTAGACTTTAGAGTCTAGCAAGAAGATCAGCAAACTTGTAGTGCTAACTTTCCCCATAGTCTAAGCTGCTGCTGAAATTCACCAACACTGCCACCTCTCTAAAATCCACAAGAGACAGAAACTAGCAGATGTACAGACTACAAAACAAAATAAAAACAAACATAAAAAGGAAGTCAATATAATTTCTCTAAGAGAGCATAACTCAACTGATCAACTCAACATTCTGAAATAGATAAACTATCAGGTGAACATTTCAGAATTATTCTTGGAAAAAAAGTCAGTGACCTCTAAGAGGATACACTCAGGTTAATTCAATGCATATCATCAATACCTCCAGAGAAACTCATTAATACAGAGGAAAAAGGCTGCAAGACAGATGAAAAATTGGTCCTCATATGATATTAGTGGGTGAATTCAATACCAAACTCTCATGAATAGGTCATCCAAACTAAAAGTCAACAAAGATGCTCCAGAGTTAAACTATATCATAAGTCAGGTGGACTTAGAATTTACCTACAGAATATTCCATCTGATCAATATTAGCCATCATATTTGGCTATATACATTCTTATTCATATTTCTTTTTGTCTTACTGGTCTTTTTGTGTTATGTGTGCATGTCTCTCGTGGGTTTTGTTTGTTTTCCTTTTGTTTGCTTGTTTTTAAAAAGTGAGAAAGAACTCAGGCTGGACATGGGGGAGGGCATAGTCCCTGCCTGGGATGATATAACAGACTTTGAAAATCCCCCATGGAAGGCCTTACCCTCCCTGTGGAGCAGAAGGGTGATGGAGTGGGGTGTTGAGGGGGATTGGGAGGAGGGGAGAAGGGAAGGCTGAGGGAGCTGGAAGTAACATGTGTAAAAAGTTAAATAAAAAATTTTTAAAGGAAAGAGCATGGAGTTGAATGAATGTGGAGTTGGAGGCGATATGACAGGAGACACATCTTCAAAAATACTTCAAATGACAAAGATTTTGATTATTTGCATATTATATTACATATTTATTCTGTATTTTTTGCTTGAGAATTTTTGTGATATTTTGATATGCTGATATTTTAAAATTTTCCACATAAACTTTTAAAATATTATTATGTATTAAAAATAATATAAATACATAAAATATGTTATTTTTGTGGGCCCATTTAAAATCTAGGATAGTACTATTTCTGCATAGAATGAAATAGGGATTTCAGTTGGTATTGCACTGAATTCATAAGTAGTTTTCAGGAATATGGTCATTTCCACAATATTAATTCTACAAATCCTTGAGCATGGGATGTCCTAACATCTTTATAGGGGAAGTCAATTACAATAACAAATACAGTAAATTGACAGGAATATTGATGCCAACTTGCTGTAGATGACACCTATGTATTTTTCTTTTTTTTTCCTAACATGGTTTAGAGATAGCACCACTAGGGTATTGGGGAAGATATACTCTACAGGTTTTTAGAGCTAAGGGTGTGATAATTACTTTAACAAAATGAGGATGGAATTGTGGAAATGAGAGAAGAGAGAAAAGTATGAATGAGAAGCGCAGTGCATGGTGTAGGGCATGAATGACACTAGAGAAAATATTTCACAGGAGTTCACCAAGTCTGTGACAGGGTGTTTTCTGCTCAGGCAATTGACTCCAGGATGACCAGGGAGAATCTCAGCTAAAATTCCTGTGCCTCATTTCTTCTGCTCACCCACTGCCTGCAACTCTGTACATTGGGCTGACATGTTCCAGCCTGCTGTTTTCTAGTGACCATGTCCAACAGTGCCTCACTGGCTGCTACTTTTGTCCTTGACCAGTGCAAGCAAGATGCTGAAACAGTGCCTGCTTGACTGTTCCTGTTGGAAACAAAAGTTCCATACTGGCTTATTTCTTTTACTGCTAAAGGTAGAGTCATTTTAGTTTTTACTGTGACCCCTGTCTTTCACTGAATCTCACAGAGGCAGCTTTTAATCCATTATAATATCCAGAACTCCTTGAACCATATATGTGCTTTTAAATTTTTATACTTCCATTTTAGGGAAGAGAATTTTCTTACATACTGTATGTAACTACAACATGTTGATTGACCAGTATGCACCTAAATGCTCACACATTTCCTGTCAAAATATTCACACCCTCTGTTGTGGGTTTTCATTACTGACATATCTCTAGATTGAGTTTGGTGGTTTCTGAGATCCATTTAACTGTTACTTTTGAGTCTCAGATAAGGCACCATAATGTGGTTCGTGGCAGTAGAAACCACTCGTCTCTTAGCAGCCAGGTAGCAAAACTAGAGGTAGGATTAGTCAATTGTCCCAATATGCCTTCCAATGGCCAGCCTCCAATCACCAACTTCCTCACCTTTTAAAAAATATTTTGTTTTTATTTTTCATTTTTTGTAATCTGCATGTTGAGTGCAGGAGCCCACGGAGGCCAAAAGCGGCTGTTGGGTTTCCTGAAGCTGACGGTCCAGGCAGTTTTGAGCCATGTAAGGTGGGAGCTAAGTTCAGAACCTCTGCAAGAGCACTCCATGCTGTCAGTACGGAGCCATTTCTCCAGCCCAAGTTTTCTCCACTGAAAGGCTTCACCATGTCTCAGAAACACCACATGTTGAAGGTCATCACCACTAAGGGGGCATGTGATGTCCACGCTACAGCGACGCCTAATCAGTTGATTATTTACGGATACAAAAACTGGATTCATTAAAGATCCAACTCTATGAACAGCATACTTAATAAAGTAGTAGGCAAACATCTGATGGTAACTTGGCCACATTTGATTTTCCTCAGACTCCCCAGTCTGTATGCAGTGAAAGCTGTGGTCCTGGGTACAGAAAATCCCTCCCAGAAGGAAAGGCGGTTTGCTGTTTTGTCTGCACTCAATGCCCAGAGAATGAGATTTCCAATGAGACAGGTATGGAGAAATTCTCGACTCGTCTGAGATGTTTGCTAATAAGAGAAAGAAAATTAAGTAAGTAAAGTGTAGTCGTGCACACCTTCTGCACCCAGGAGGCAGAGGCAGGCTGATCTCTGTGAGTTTACAACCAGACTGTTCTACATAGCAAGTTCCAGTACAGCCAGGGTTACAGAGGGAGAACTGTTTAAAAAGTAATTTTAATAATGAATAAATTCCTTCACATTGATGTTTTAGAATGCTATCATGGGGATAAGAGGGCTGCAGCCTACATTCATCAGTGATGCCCTGTATGTCTTCTGAGGTGGTGTGAAACACACAGGATGTGACTAGCCCATTTCACACTCACATTCTCACACTCTTTTTAACCTGGTTACACAAAAGGTGGTTAGCTGACCTGATTTGAACCTGAAAGTACTCTCTGTTTCTTTATGTACTGGAAAGAGCTGGTCGGGGGCAAATGTTCCCCTATGGGGTATGTTTGATCATGAGCAAGGGGTGACAGAGCTTCAAAGATCAGTGCTGGGAGAGGGAAGAAGAACAAACATGATCTGCCAACCGCATTCCTGGAGCCCTCACACTTGAACCCTAGCTTAACACATAGGCAGTCCTCGACCCCACACCACCCAGAAGAGATTAGTCCATTTTTCAGAGGAAGCACCTTTCACCTCATTCTGTAAGTTGAAATTCCCCACAGTACAGAACTCTTAACAGGTTTACGCCAGAGGTGCACCCCAGAACCAAGACTCTCACATGAGTGACCACTCACTGACCTTTCCAGAAATTCCAGAAATTCCCAGGTATTTCCGACTACGGAGAACCTCAAACAATAGGACATATCTCAGCCAGCATCTCATACTGCTTATTTAGAATCTGCAGAGTAACACAGAGGCCTCTTCTTCTAAATGAACCTGATTGATAGGTTTCAGGTTTCTTGTCTTTTGAGACTGTAGTCTAGAGTGGGTAGCCTCTACTCCAATAGAGTGAGCTCTCCTGCAGCAATATTATCACAATATGGGTGCTAGGTCCTAGGTCCTCTTTTGATGACCATTTCACTATGAAAAATCCCTGGGTTGCACCAGGCTGGAGCTTTCTTGTTGAATCCTGGGGCTTTCATGTAGCTATCCCTGTTAATATACATCCAGTCAATGCTGCTTCAGTTTCATCTAGTTGGAAAGTATGAGAGGACTCTCTGCCTCTTTTTCACTATATTCCCTCTTTCCTGATATTCTTTACACTTTTAAAAATGAAATAAAAGACACTCATCAATTACTGAATACTAATAGTTGATAAACATTATGGAAATAACAATATTAATGATTAATGGAATCTAGTATTGCAAAGATAAGTAGAAATGGCAAACTATGATATATTCCCAATTCATTTAGTATTGAAATTCCAAGTGATGCATGGTGGAACATAATGAAGACTCAGGGAATCAGAAGGCAAAGGTAGAAGAATGGTTTCAGACCAAGAGTTCAAAACCAGCATGGGCAACACAGTGAGACATGTCTTTGAAACTGTTTTAAATGGTTTCATATACAAGCCATTGGGCAACAGCAATATCAACAGATATACTAACTCAGAAAGTTGACTTTTCATGGAGACATGATAACTGACTTCCTTTACATTTTGTTCCATGGTCTATGTTGGAGTTGGCTGAATACTTGTAAATCTAATATTTAATATCTTTTCAACAAGCCATAGGCTAAAGAATAGAGAATAGTGTTAGAGAGATGGCTCAGGAAGTAAAATAAAATAAACATGAGGACTTAAGTAGATTCCAAACAATCACATAAAAAGCCAGGTGTGGTGATGACCTATGCCTGAAAATCCAACACTGGAAAGGCAGAAATAGGCAAATCCCTGGCACTCCTTGACCAGCCAGCCTAGCCTAATCAGCAAGCCTCAGAGAGATCATATTTTAAAATAAAATAAATGATTCATGAGAAATGCATCTGAGGCTGACCTCTGAATGCTACATGGACACACACAAGCATGCATACACATCCATGAACACACATACACCCGCACAAACACAAATATGCATGTACACATATACACAGTCACACATGCACAATTAAAAATAGAAACAAAACATACATTATAAAGACTCCAGGATTAAAAATATCACTGCTTAAACATGGTACACTGAAGATAAAATTATAGATTTCTATGAGCTAAATAGTGTGTAGCCATGGCATATATGCTTTTACTGTGTTTAATAAAGAAAAGCTGAAGTTCTACAAATCATTATAGATCTATAATGAAACTTTGATTTGTAGAACTTAAGAGCCATTACAGTTTAAAAGAGAAATCTGGCACTAGGGGTGTGCCCAGAGATACACAACTAATGATGAAACCAACTAATAATCTAAGCAATAGTTGGAGAGGCTACCTTAAATGTCCTTCCCCTATAATGAGATTGATGACTACCTTAAATGCCATCCTAGAGCCTTTATCCAGTAGCTGATGGAAGCTGAAGCAGAGATTCACAACTAAGCACTGAACTGAACTCCTGGAATTCAGTTGTAAAGATGGAGGAAAGATGAGCAAAGGGGTCAAGATTGTGCTGGGGAAATCCAGAGAAACAACTGACCTAAGCAAGTGGGAGCTCATGGACCCCAGTCTGAAAGCTGGGGAGCCAGCATAGGACTGAACCAGGCCTCCTGAAAGTGGGTGTTAGTGGAGAGGCCTGAGCAGTCTATGGGGCCTCTGGCAGTGGAACCAGTATTATCCTAATGCACAAATGGACTTTGGGAGTCCATTCCCCATGGAGTGATACTCTCTCACCCTAGTTTCACAGGGGACTACCTAGGATCTGCCCCAAATGATGTGACAGACTTTGATGACCCCTATAGAAGGCCTCACCCTCCCTGAGGAATGGTTGGGAAGAGATTGATGGGTCGGTAGAGGGGATGGGAGGATGGGAGGCAGAGGGAACTGGGATTGATATGTAAAATGGGATTGTTTCCAAATTAAATAAAAATTTATTTTAAAAGTTTCATATAAAAGTGGAAAAATACAAAAATTGAATACAACAAAAGTAAAGTAGAAGAGATTAACAAAGGAACATCTTAAGGAAAAGAGAAGATAATAAAAAATGAGAATACTAAAAATTAAATTTCAGGGCTGGAAAGATGAATCAGTGGTTAAGAGCACTGGCTGCGCTTCCAAAGGACCAAGGTGCAGTTCCCAGCTCCCATGTGGAAACTCTAGTTCATGGGGGATCTGACTCCCTTTTCTTACTCTTGCGGATACTGCGCACATGTGGTGCACAAACACACATCCAGCAAAACACACAGACAACTTAAAATAAAACAAATTAAAACTTAAAATTGTTAAACTAAAATTTAGAATTGTTTAGAAGTTTGATAACCATAGGATAAAAACTTAAAAAATATTAATACTGCAAATGGAGTCATTGAAGTTTTAATAAAATGAAATATGATATAAATAATTTCACATTCACATACTTGAAATTCTAGGTGAATTGACAATCATAAAGGAAATAAAAATTAACAACTGCCCCAACAATACACGATTAAATTATCAGGAGCCCACTACCTAGGAAATGGAGCAATGTCTCAGCGGTTAAGAACACTTGCTGCTCTTGCATACATGAGTTCAGTTCTCAGCACACACATCCAGTTGGTCACAACCATCCATAACTCCAATTCCAGGGGACCGAAGGCCACCTTCAATCATGCGCACAAGCCCACACACATGCACACTTACACATAATTAAAATTTTTTAGTCTTCCCTAATAAAAATTGATCTACACAAAAAGAATCCAATGTCTATAAATGAAGTGAATTTTTCCCACATTTTTTGTTAACACCTTTAAACAGTCTGCTTTTTGTTGTTTGTTGTTATTTTCCAGAAACGATCTCATGAGGACCAGGCTGTTCCCCTTGCCAAATAGCTGTATCTGGCCTTAACTCCTATTCCTCCTGACTCCACCTCCCAATGACAAGGACTACAGATGTGTGCCACCATGTGACAAACTGTTAGAATGCAGTACTTACTTATTAAACCCCTTCAGACAGAATAAAAGCAACCAGGGAAGTCAGTTCACCTTTGAACTCCATATCTGAGAACACTGTTACTAGGAGAGAGCTTCAGAGGCCCCTTCTTACATCACTAAATTAATTTTTCAAAATTGTGTGTGTGTGTGTGTGTGTGTGTGTGTGTGTGTGTGTGGTGTGTCCATGTGAGCGGGTGCGCGTGTGTCATGGGGCACAGATGGAACTGGAGAGACAGCCAATACCCTTCCACTTTGCTTGAGACCACATTTCTCCACAGATGCATTAGCCAGGCTACATGGCCCCATGAGCTCCTGGGAAGTACTGTCTGTCTCTCATCTTACTGTAGGGGTACACTGAGATTAGAGATGCTTGTGCTGCTGAATTCAGCTTTTACGTGGGTCCTGGGAATCCAAACTCAAGCCATCAGGCTTGAGCAGCAAGGCTTTACCCCATGAATCAGCTTTCCCAGCCCAGGCAATATTTCATATGAAGGCAATATTGTGACTAAATTCAAGCTGTGTAGTGGAAGTAAGTAGGGAAGTTTCTGGAAAGGGGGTAAATGATACCAGAATCTTCAAAGCAACACACAATTGAATAAGCAGGAGAAAATGTGACTTTCTTCATGTCACCATAAAGGCAATGGGCAATAGTCACATTAACCCCACACTGCATACTTTCATTTGTTGTCTGAAGTAGCAAAGGAGGGCTACTAGGCTCACCTAGTCAAATGAGTGAGTGAAGTGGACAACAGAAAGATAATGACCATGAAATAACACTCATGTTTTCACCAGATGTGGATCAGTGTATGAAGTGTCTAGATCATCAATATGTCAACACAGAGCGAAACCACTGCCTCCAAAAGTCTATGACCTTCCTGGATTATGACGACCCCCTGGGGATAGGGCTGTCATGCACGGCCTTGTGTTTCTCTGCACTGTCAGCTCTGGTTCTTGGGATCTTTGTGAAGAAGCAAGACACTCCCATTGTAAAGGCAAATAACCGCACTCTCAGCTACATCCTGCTCCTCACCCTTCACTTCTGCTTTCTCTGCCCTTTTCTCTTCATTGGCCATCCCAACACAGCCACTTGCATCCTACAGCAGACCACATTTGGAGTGCTGTTCACTGTAGCTGTCTCCACTGTCTTGGCCAAAACTATTACTGTGGTTCTGGCTTATAAGGTCACTGCTCCCGGAAGAAGAATCAGGTGGTTGTTGGTAACACGGGCACCTAACTTCATTGTTCCCATCTGCACCTTCATCCAAATTGTCCTGTGTGGGGTCTGGCTGGGGAACTCTCCCCCCTTCGTTGACACTGACACACACTCTGAACAGGAACACATTATCGTCCTGTGCAACAACGGCTCTGTCACTGCTTTCTACTGCATGCTGGGATATCTGAGAGCTCTGGCCTTGGGAAGCTTCACTGTGGCTTTCCTTGCCAGGAACCTGCCTGACACCTTCAATGAAGCCAAGTTCCTGACCTTCAGCATGCTGGTGTTCTGCAGTGTCTGGGTCACCTTCCTTCCTGTCTACCACAGCACCAAAGGGAAGGTCATGGTGGCTGTGGAGGTCTTCTCCATCTTGGCCTCCAGTGCAGGGCTTCTAGGGTGCATCTTTGCCCCCAAGTGCTACATCATCTTGTTAAGACCACAAAAGAACTCTATTCAGGGTCTCAGGGACAAAATACATTATAGGCCCAAGTCTTAATACATTTTTAATTAATTTTCAACTTTGTACATAAAGGATATTTCATTATTACATTTTCATGTGTATTTTGTTCTTATCCATCCTCTTCACAATCTGATACCCTATCCCCTCTACCTCCTCCTGTTTCTTCCTTATCTTAAAACACTCCTCGTTTCTACGTTCATACATGTGTTTCTTTACCCCTTCCCTTTTCCACCTCCCTTACTTTCTCCCCTCTCTCAGCTACTTTCTTCTTTCAGGTTGAGGAGAGAGACAGAAAAAGCCAGCCCCTTGTGGTATTTATAAATGACCATGGATTAAGTCACCAAATTAAAAAATTTCCAGTTCCAAAAATTTCCTTTTAAATGTCATGACCTTTATTCTTCCTTAAGGCTGAACTAATGCCACTGTGAATATGTTCCACATTTACTTTATCTGTTCACCTGCTGCTTCCTTTTCTCAGCTACCATGCAAGTACAGTAACAATCATGGATGTGCAAATATCTCTTTAGGTGTCTTCTGGGTTTATATAACTAGCAGTGGTATGTTAGATTGATTGGTAATCTATATTTAATTTTGATAGTAACTTCTACACTCTTTTGACAGTGGTTTAAAAAGTCCTAGTAAACATGGAACACTACTCACAAAGGAAAAAAGATAGGGTGTGGGGTCAACTTTTAAAGTTTTAGACTTTAGAGTCTAGCAAGGAGATTGGCAAATTTGTAGTGCTTTCTTTCCCCATAGTCTAAGCTGCTGCTGAAATTCATCAACACAGCCACCTCTCTAAAATCTACAAGAGACATCTTGCTTTGGGGAAGAGATTGTGCTTTTCTTTCCACAGGAAACAAAAGGCTGTGAATTTGTTCAAGGTTTATAAAGATAAGATTTGATCATGGAAGAGCCCCCTGAAAGCCTGGTTACAGACATAAAGAAATATGACAGATGCATATTTTACCTTCTCGAACAAACAAACAAATCTTTGGTTGGTTTGTGTGCATGCACAGTCCTTGCTTGTGTAAATGCAGATATGTGTGTTACGTTTAAAAGTTTGTGTTTTCAAAGCAAGGGGGCCAGACACCAATGAAAATGGGTGGCCCAGGTGATCCAGCCTCTCAGAAAATCTCTGTTGCAGTTTCCTCATTCAGAACAGCTTCAAGGCTGCTGGCTGAGATGATCCAATGTCACAATTCCACCTGGAACTTGACCATTATCCTAATTTTTCAGGGTCCCCCAAAGATGCCTGCACCCCCAGACAACAGAAAGCAGCCCAGAGAACACAACACCAAAATTACCAAGAGGTGGGGTGGGTGTTTGGGGCATTTGTTGGGTTATAGATGCTTGTCATCATTTAGGAGGTTGGTTACAAATTGTTACTGGTCATGGTCAGGAAGAAAGTTAAATAAAGGACATTAGATCCGGGGATCTCTTTCTGAAGGGAAAGGCATGTACAGACATGATAGAATAAAATGTGGATTTTGAGACTACTTTTGAACAAACACTGTCTCAAATATTTTACATTGGTATGTAGTTTTATATATTGATGTAATTTTAAGATTATTTTTGTTCTACAAAATTACATTTCTACTCTTGTTTGGGGTATTGTTCTTACACGGCTCCTTTAAAAATGTAATGTATAAATAAGAAATGCAGGTTAGTGGTTTTTCATCTATAATTATCAAGGTTAAACCAATATAGATAGATATTCTTCAAATACTTCAAAGACCTATAGAATATGGCATTTAAGATGTTTAATAACCTGAGGCTTTTCTTAACAGTGAGACATGTCTGCTCCTGGAAAAACCAATTTACTTCAGAGAAGATGATGGGAGTCAAAGAAATTCCTTATGAAGTTTGCTTTCATTGTGGCAAGGTTAGCCATTGGGCAAAGAAAACGTTCTTGCCCTGACTGCTGACAATATAGTATTCAAACAGGACACAAAGGACAAAGACTATTGAACTTTGCCAAGATAAGGCAGGTTAGTCCTTCAAATTTCAATAAAAGTCTGGAAGTACAAACTGGACAAGCAGAAAACAAAGGAAAATTTGTGAAGGTAAGACTTAAAAATTCCTGCTTCATAGAAAAGCCTGCCAGATATCCTAGGCCTGTAGGGTGAAGATGGATGCACCAACATTGCAAAAGAATCTTGGGTGACTGTCCAGACAGCCAGATGTCTGTCATTTCTATATGTTTAGAAGCAAGTTGTACTGCACTTCCTGTTTATTCAGGTAATATTTTATCCTTATAGGGTCTTTGATAGAATTGAAAACAGTTATAGTTTTCCTTAGTTATGATAGAGGATAAATTAGTACGAAATTTTGGACTCATCAAGAGAAGATAGATAATGAAGTATTTTCTCAAAATTTGCCAAATACAAATGGAATGAACATTGTATATGTAATTCTTACCTGATAACTATCCTTACCTTACACTTTCATTTGTTAAAGTGAATACCTTTCCTTCCTATTTCGATAGTACCTGATAATTGTTCTTATTGTATATAGCTTTACTATGTTAGAGTTAAAACCTTCCCTTTTTATTTAGACAAAAAGGGAGAAATGTTGTAGAAGAATCTTTTTGTACATTGTTAATATGTGTCACTAAACAGTCAATAGCTAGGCAGGGTTTTCAGGACATGGAGAACACTGGGAAGAGGAAGGGCAGAGTCATGAGGAGATGCCAGAGATGCAGAGCAAGCAGCATGAGTTTCACAAAATGAAGATGACTGAGCCACATAAAAGAATGTAGATTAAAAGACACAGGCTAATTCAAGTTATAAGAACTAGTTAGACACAAACCTAAGCTATCAGTCAAGCTTTCATAAGTCTTTGTGTTATGATTTGTGATCTGGCTGGCAGAAAAGAGAAAGACTCACATCAAACCTATGATCTTCATCCTTTAGCATCCATAGTACTGTGATTTCTGGCTTGTGACCATACCCCATTTCATCCCTCAAGTTCTCTTGGAGCTGTTTCTCTTCAATATCCCTCTTCCTTCCTTCCTTCCTTCTCAAATGACCCTGCCTAAACTTTTACAGGTTTCTCATCCATGCACTATCTACATTTTTCTCTTTCTCCTTTCCTTTTTTCTTTATTCTTCTTTTCTTCTCTTTCCACATTGACTCCTGTTCCGTTCCTTCTGTTACCTTGTCTTTCAGGCTCTTTCACAAGTCTCTGTGCAGTCTCTGCCTATGTTGGTTGACTTTAGAAGCTACATTTCTCTTTCTTTCTGCCATGTATATCAAGAAAACAAAATTCATGTCTCATCTCAACATCCTGCTCTGTATCCAGAGCTGGCCCTCATTCTTTCACATTTCCCCATCTTTATTTTGAGCTGTTCCTATCTCTCAGATTTTTTGTCCACTTTTCTCTTCTGGGTACCTGTTCATCGACACTCCCTCCCATTGCTTGATTTGATACTGGGTCCCAGGCTTGTGTGTTTTTCTAGTCTGTTGGCTTCTTCCTCCCTAGTGTTAGATGATAATCATGAGTTGCCATGCTAGGCTCTGCTCTTTGTCTCCAAAGCATTTATTTTTGGATATCCCTTGAGATGGCCCTCTTCATTGTCTCTGCTTGTCTCTCTTACATGGCACTTAGTCCCTCTGGCATACTCCCAAGGACAGTATGATCTGACCAGGAATGGAACCCGTGGCTTTGATTTCTGAGTTTAATGACACTGGTCACCTAGCCTCCGTCTTGGAGGAGGTTGTTTTCCCATAGCACATCTAAAAACAGTGACCTCACACTGACCCATAGGTCTCCACTGTCCAGAGAGTATAAAGACCCCAGGGTTGGGCTGAAGGCTGCTTTTATCAAGGGACTACAAGGACATGTTTGGGTTTCTGCTGTACCTTCTGACTTGGATCAGGAATGGTGTGTAACCTCAGACAGAGGAGCTGTATCTAAGCACAATAACTTTTTTCCTGTAAAGCAGAGCTCTCAGCTAATACCAACATCCTGAGGAGTTACTCTGGAGAACATGGAAGGTGTTGACTGAGGGGCAGGGAATATCTTTACACCATGATGCCATGTGGTTAGGAATGGACATAAATCCTAACAAGGCAGGGAGGAATCCTGTCAGCAGAGTAATGGAGAGGAAGAACTGGGAAGGGAACCAAAGCTCTCAGCCAGAGAATTCATCTCTGTTGAAGTTTTATTGGTCTTTGGAGCCAGGGCTCCCCACAGCCCCCAGGCTACAGCCTGATGGTGACTCTGAACAGATGCAGAGTCTAGTGCTCCTCCAGGCTCCGTCCAGTTGCTCAAAGGGATAAAGGGATAGGAGGGACATACAGGAAACAGATCATCAGTCCTCTTCCTATCTTGGGGAGGGCCTCCCTGTCTCCCAAGGTCACCAACCCAGCATCTGAACAACCACAATGCTGAAAGCAACCCCTCAATGTCAGTTGTAGGTGGCCTGGGTGTGCCCATTAGTCAGTTGACCACCTGCCAGGCTCTGTGAGCCATTGGCAATGGCTGGCCCAGACCTTTGAGCCATTCATTCTGTTCTTCAATTGAAGACCTCTAGGAACTGGCCATTCATCACTGGAGTCTTATTCTTCTGCATCACTATGAAGGTCCTTTGCCATCTGTGAAAACAGATGGTTCCAGAGCTCAGAACAGAGAAAAGAGCACTGAGCCAAGGAGGGACATTGGGGGCTGACCATGCCAGACCTCCATACCTGAACCTTCCTCGAGAAATTGCAGACCATGCCCAGGATGAGACAGAACCAGTGCACATGAAGAATCTGCAGTATCACCAGGAGCACATTAAAGTAATAGTAGCCGAAGAAGGGGCCTGAGTTCTTAATGGAGTCAAACAGAGTGGAGTAGATGACCCTAAGGCAGGAAGCAAGAAGGAGTTTCACCAATCTGTGTGGCTCCACATTCTAGGAACTTGCATGGACCATCTCTGCTCCTGAAACTCCCTAGTGCCACATCCTGAGATGATATCTTTCTTGACCTGCTTACACTAAGTCAGTGGAACACACAATTTGCCAACTGGCATTTCTGTACCACAAACCCCA